AAAGGGTAGAGCGTCGACCCCTAGCATGCAAGGCCTACGCTGTTCAGCATCCCAAACCAACAAACGAAGTTGATCCCTTGTTTCTGCACTGACACCAAACTGTTTGTATGCGCTACGCAAATCGTATGTGCGCCCCACCAGCTCGTCATCAAGCTGCTCGCCAAGCTCAGTGCATATCCAAGAAAGATATGCAGCTATCTGGTCAACTGCATGAACTCGGAGTTTCTCTTTCGTGCCGTAGGTCTTGTTGTAACCCCCAAGCGAGCAGTCATCTATGACTCTGATCTTATTTTTCTGTTGCAGTCCGAACCTTTTTTGCAAGTATCACATCAGAAATGTCGCTTGTGACATCTCTCCACACCTATTGTTTTTCAAGCTCCTCCATAGTGCTCTCCCATGTGGCTCTTGATAGATCATCATCGCTGGTTGAATTCACCTGTGCAAAAATCATAGAGTTCAATCCTTTCGCCATATTCCTGACCATCTCCAGCGAGTACTCAGGACGTTTAAGGTCCTTTGGAAAAACATTCGATTCTTGCATCCAACCATGAAGATGACGCAATTTCGTCAACCAGTGTGCTGTCAGGGTAGTTCAAAGAAATGAGCACTTCTTTCAGAAGCAACAAACGCTTGCCACGTAAGAGCTGTTGTAGGTGTGGTTGTAAAGAAGCGTGCAGCTGCTTCTCTTCTTCTATCAGTTTTTTAGCACGGTTGCTCCATTTCCAAAGAAAAGCTGAACGCTCTTTTGTCAGTGAATAATCATCTCCTCCAAAATTCATCCGCAAAACCTGCTTGATTGTTTCAGAAAGGTGCACGGCAACTGTCCTTGGGTGGCCTGCTTTAACCGCCCTTGCAAGAAAGTCCATGGCTTCTCGTGGAACGCCTACTGTGACTATTTCATGTGAATCGGATTCAGGTGTGCATGACTCATGCACTTTAACATCAACGTCTTGCGAAAGCCATCCTCATAAAAGTCGTGAGTTCAGCTGCAATGCACAAATTGCGTAACTCATGACTCCTGTCTATGGCATCGCAATGACTTGCGAAAGCAGCTTCGGAATCTACCAGTGCCATCGCGCCGGTTCTGACCGAACTGCCCTAACCCTTTTCCAAACTTCAAACATGCATGAAACATTTGATAAAATTGTCTTGGTATCGTTTCTGGAGTTTTGTCAAACTTGAACCATTGCATGCGCTTGCACGCATTCAACTTGACATCTTCCAAAACTTGTCAAGGCAAACTGAAAATTAAATTGTGCCATGCGTTTGTCTTCTCAGTTTGAGCCTCTCTCCGTCTATCACGATCAAGTGATGTTGACAGTCTGAGTCCCTCAAAAAGTCAAATGAAAATCACGTTCCCAAAAATTCTCCATGCCAGGATGGGTCTCATGCGGTTGCAGTTCACCACATCACACTCAGCATCTTGTAAATTCAAATCTGCACATGTGAAAAATTTGACATGCAAAACATGGCAACTGACTGCTGAAATCATTTTCACCACACAGCTCCACTAATCAAGCTTCGCACGGAAACATTGTCTGCACTTAGGGGTGTCAAATGGATGACGTCCCTCTGCAACTGCATACATGTAGCCCGTCTTTCTGCCACAAAGAAAAACTACTCGGTTTTCGTTTTTCATTAAGTGAAGCGTTTTCAGCTTGACATGCTGGTGCAAAAACGTTCCTTCTGGCGCCTTGATGTCCTTGTATGACACTCGAGGCATGACGGTGGTGTCAACGTCTGAATCGCTCTCAGAGCCTGTGGTGGCATGGTCGCTGACATCAAGGCTTTCACCTAAATCACCTGCCTCTGAGACTGGAAGGAAACCGTCTGAATTAACTTGTGAAACAGTTTCAAAGCTGTTGCCGACATCACCAACAACTTCTGACTTGTGGTTCTTGAGACACTTCTGAGGGAGATTCGTTTAAAACGATTTGACCCGAACGACACACGTAGTGGCCGGCTCAGTCAACTCCAGAAACTTGAAGTTTTTTTTCCGTCCAACGCCTTCATGGCTTTCATCAGGTCGTTACAAACGTTCAACCGCAGCAGAAAAGCTGAATTGTAATTTGCTTGCAAGGCCGTCAAATTGGTCGGCAGCCTCAAAAGAGCTGGTAGTGAACTCCAGAAACTTGAAGTTGATGCTAAGAGGTCTCGATGCGCCATCCCTCGAGTACACCAAAGCCATTTTAAGACTGTGGGTGTGATACCCCAAGCTCAAACGGTCCTCAAAAGGTAACCCTCGCTTGGCTGCATAGCTCAGGCACGTTGCTTTCAGTGAGTGCGAAGAAAATCTTTGACTCTTGTCTGCATTGTCAATTTGTAATAAGTCACGCATCCAACTGCCTGCCTCTGACGTTGATAAGGGCCGCACAGTAGCCTCCCTCTGAGCATTCGGTGCAGGCATCAAAGGAAATTCTGAAAGGTTGTGTATGCCAAGTTCTTTGCGGACTCTGCACCACTCAGCACCCCAGTTCCCTGCTGTGACCCCTTCACAAGGAGCTACCAGAGGGAGGTACATGTGACGCAACTGCAAAGCTTTTGCTGTCTTGTGAACTCCAGTTGACACTTCAATGTATGCGCACACACCACTGCTGTCAACATCTTCCAAAAGCTTTTCACCATGCTGAGCATCCGACCATCTTGAACGGGCATACACGCAGAAAAGCAGCATGCCAGCAAAAACTCTGTTCCATGTTTCATCATCTTCAAAAAGAACACGGTGCAACAAAGTCCGCTGTTTAACAGTTAACGGCTCAGACTGTTTCATCTTGTGATGAACATCTAAGGCTGCCACACCTTGGCATCGTCTGCTCACAGTGACACTGTCAAACTCAGAAACTCCAAGTACATGCCTGCAAAAAGTCAATGCTTCTATATAACTCTTCAGTCTGCTGCATGGTGCTCCAGCACTGCGTTCAACACGCATGAACTCATACACCTGGGACTCATCGCAAGGAAAAATGCGGCCACGTGCAATGAAATAGTTTGTCATGCGTGACATGCTGCGACAACGTTTCATTGCTGTTGCAGGTGCCCTGTTGCAAAAAATGTCAACCAGCAGCTGAGCTTGCGCTCCGAAACCATCCAGTGCCAACATCTGTCCAACCACCATGACTTTGGGGTCCCAAACAGACAACATTGCATGCCACCTGAAAACAGCTACTTGCCACTCTGCGTCACGCTGGTCTTTCCAATTCATGATCGGAACATCACGCACATGGTCCATGAAGGTTGCTGCTTGTTTCAACGTTTTGGGTTTCCGTTCAACAACCTCCACTGTTTCTCCTGCAGGTCCATCAAAGGTGTTGTCAAAAGGCCTCTTGAAGTTGCCATCAAACGAACTGAGAAAACTCTTGTCCGGGTTCATGAAATCGCTCCAAAAGCCAGTCTCCCAGAAATGTTTTACTCCTTCAGGTTGAAGTGCAACACGAGCAAAACCAAAAGTGTTTTCAGCTGAGTACCCTGGAATGACTGAAACATCGACATCTGTACCTTGAGAACTGCATAGTCGATCATCAACATCATCAAAAGACATGCCGAACAAATCAGGTACATCTTGCGAAAAACCAGGCACCGTTGCAAACTGTCCAACTGAAGGTCCGTCCATGCCATTTGCAATCTCAGTTTCACGTTGCATGCTTTCTGAGTGTTCCCTCTCAAGAGCTAAGTTTTCAGCTGCGGCTTGGGCTTCCAACATTGCAGCTTGAGCTTCCAACTCCCTAGAACCGTCATCACGAAGTTCTTCAGGTCTGTTCTCCAAACAATGGGGAAACAAAGGGGCGCGGTGAGTAATGGGGTAAACTAAAACTAACGCGAGAGAACACAAAGGAGTTAAACAAGAGCGCGATCGCGGTATACGCGCAAACTGAACCAACTGACATGTGAAAACATCAAAACTGGACATCTGCAAACTGAAGAACAAACAAGTGATCGAACACGGAAACGCTCCACTCCTTTTTTGTCTGGTGGTGACGGCACTGCTGTGAAAGATTTCTGAGACCTAACTGCCACCATCGTGCGAAATCTCTTCCAAGTGTCTTTCATCGTGAACACACCTTTGAAACGTGGACGAGGACAAAATGTCCCCGAAATTCGATTGTACATCAAGCAAATAAATAGCGAAGTTCCAATCCAGTGCCAAAGATGGTGGTCGCCACGAGAACCCAAGTCCAACCAAATAAGGGTGGGGGGGTGTGGTACAAAAATTTGAACAACTGAAACTGCACAGAAAATATAAAACTGAGAAATGAATCTGAATTCACGTTGAAGTTTGAACAGATTGTAAGACAAATTTCTGAGTGTTCCAAAACCTAAACCTAACAAACCTAACAGTAACAAGCAAGGCAACTGAAAACTGAAATGAGATCATCTTGCGAAAGAGAACCAACAACACCAAACAACAGAGGCAACTGAAACTGAAACTCAGGCGTTGCAAAAGTTGGTTTGTTTCATTTAGGTTTTTTTTTTGAGGAACACGCGAAGAGGAACCCAGAAGGCCCAAAGGCCAAATACACGAGAGAGGTAACCCTCAACCAAACCCCCACCACCCACCCACCCCATTGTTTTACAAACAGTCACTTTGGTGACCCAAAATATCCTGTTCTCCAAACAATGGGGAAACAAAGGGGCGCGGTGAGTAATGGGGTAAACTAAAACTAACGCGAGAGAACACAAAGGAGTTAAACAAGAGCGCGATCGCGGTATACGCGCAAACTGAACCAACTGACATGTGAAAACATCAAAACTGGACATCTGCAAACTGAAGAACAAACAAGTGATCGAACACGGAAACGCTCCACTCCTTTTTTGTCTGGTGGTGACGGCACTGCTGTGAAAGATTTCTGAGACCTAACTGCCACCATCGTGCGAAATCTCTTCCCAGTGTCTTTCATCTTGAACACATCTTTGAAACGTGGACGAGGACAAAATGTCCCCAATGCAACGCACGAGGCAACGTTGACTGAAGCTGACGCTGAAACTGAAGGGGGGCTGTCAAATTAACCCCATGCCGTCTTTTCACCTTTGTCTTTGCCTTTTCCGTAAACCGCCCAAGAGTCGCGGTCTAAGTACTCTTCTCTGGCTTCCCAAAGGCTCGCCAACAAACTCAAATCTAAATCTGAAAACAGGCAGGAAATTCTCTTGTCCATGTCAACCCCTCCAAACTTGGAGTTCGTCAAATCGTCAGCGAGGGTGTTCTCGTCCCTCGGTCTCCACGCCAGACTCAACCTGACACCTGACCTCATCAAGAAATGTGAAAGCTGCATGTTGACTAAGGTGAGAGGCCAGCGGGTAGTGGAGTTCTTTTTGGACAAGAAGTCAATGGAACGGTTGTCAGTCCCGCTCTGAATCCACAAACGTATGCACGTCCTACCTGTCTTGGGCTCCAGGTAGCCAAACAACCGTAGCGCCACCAAAACGGCAAGCAACTCAGCTGGTGCCGAAGCCCACTCACTGTCTCCGTTCTCTTTGAACAAGTAAGGAGCATCACGCGGTGTGACCCGCACTGAAAACCACCTTCCGTCTGGGAAGTGATACCCCGCAAGAACCACCAAGTTGTTTTCGCATTTCGCGTCAGTCCTGAAAACTTCATTTGTAAGCCTCTGCGGCTTCACGCAAGAAAACATGAACTTCTGCTCCTCAAACTGCTTTTCCAGAAACATGCAAACCAGCCTGACCAGGCGTGGGGCCGTAGCAACTGTGCTTTTGCTAACTGCTGACGCCCAAGAGTAAAGCGGGGCCAGATGCGGCTTCAACCACAACAGGACGCGGCAGGTGAAGCCGAGCCGCCCAAGAAACTCTGCAAACCTGTGGACATGCACTGTATAGCCATCCCTCCTCAGCTCTCTGAGAAAACTAAGCAGCCATTGACCGCGGGCTCCACTTATGCCAACCTCCATGTTGCGGTAGTCAACACGGTATCCAACAAACTGGACGTCCATGCCTCCAGAAAACTTCTTGTATCCAAAAGGTGTGCCCAAAGCTTCATAGGCCGCAATTGCCATCCACAAAGTCTCAAACTTCTGCTCACCCACGCAAACAACGTGGAGATCGTCCACGTAAACCAGTTGTAAAATCCACCTGTCCAAGAGCAGCCTAGCCACCAGCCTGCCTGCAAGGCCAAACAACCTGCTCCACCAATAAGGCGCACTTGACACCCCAAATGTGCCGACTTTATTGACCCAGCACACTTTGGAGTCAGAGTCTGACTTACAAACCAAAAGCCTCCAATCGCTTTCCCTGATCTTGACCAACCTGTGCGCCGCCTTGATGTCTGCTGACACCGTGAAGAAAGCCTCCATGGTGTCCCTCGCGCACCGGACTGCCCCTGCAACATCTGGTGGCCCAGGGTAATCTAGCTTGTCAGTAAACCTGATGCCATTGTTGACTTGGACAAAGTGAGTCCCATCATGTATGGGCCTAACGCTCCCATCTGGTTTCTTGATTGCCCCCATGGCCGCCACCAGGATAGGTTTTCCCGGGTAGCGCTCTTTCAAAACTCCCATAGTCGTGGGGAACATCATGCCTTGCGCCTCGTCCTCTCTGAACTTGCTTTCAAGCCCTTCCTTGTTCTCCACCGCAGACTTGTAGTTGCGTGCCTCCTCCATGTACTCAGAAGAGTCCAGGTTGCTCTGTTTTAACCGGGCACGAAACACATCAGGAGCAGGTGGTATAGGCTCTTCGTACCCAACCGGCACGCCAGACGAAAAGGAGTCTCTGTCTGCCACCAAAATTTCATGATCCGGATCTTCCTGGATCTTCAGAGTCTGCGCCAAGAAAGGTTGGCCTTCTGCTCTCCCCATAGCACTGCCTGGGACCGGCAGCAAAGCTGCCCACCGCTTCCTTAACAGGTCAAGAGCGTCCCCCCCAAAGGGGGACTCCGTCAACTTCCCAGTCGCCAGTTTGAAAGCCATAAGGCGAAGGTCTCCCAGCTGCTCATGGACAAAATTCCTCAACAAATCGTGGATCTTTGTATTGAGCTCCATTGAACGCACGCTCTGTCCAACACCTCTGCAACCAGGCGCCCACCTATTGGGTGAGCACAGTCCAAAACCATCAACGATCTCTCTCTCTTCACCTGACCATTCCACCATCAAAGGCCTACCCCAGTTGAAACGCGAAACAGTGTGCTGCACCTCTACTGTTTTACTGGTACCAACAGCCTGTGCCGCCGGTTGTTCAGCCAGCGACTGTTTGTCCTCCTCATCAACTTCCATCTGTTGTTGTTGTATCTGCTTCGACTCAGGAGCCACATGCTTCGTAACCGCTTCAGCAGGAGGGGAAACAGGTCTCGGAGAAACAAGCCCCTCTTTAACCCTGTGGTGATCCCCTTTCCGCAGGACGGAGGCCACAAGGGTTGCAAGATATTTGCACAAGCCAGGTGGATATGCTGCAGCAGGCCCGGTGACCCAACGTCCCTGGGAGTCTTTTCCAATCAAACGCCTGACATGACGCTTGTGAGTGCACCGAGCTGGCAATGGCCCCAAATATCGGCCATCTTGATCAAATGACGGCCACTTCGCATAGCGCGACTTGATGCCCGGTATTGTAGAAAGAAACCTGGGGGGATGCTGGTGTCCGCCCCGAAGGCGCATTGGAAAATTGCCCATGTTGTCGCTTCTGTGGCAATTTGAAGGTCGCGCATGTCTTCCAGTTGCCAGATCGATGCTGGGTATTCACCATTAACTGACCCCAAATCCTCTGGATGTTCAATCAGAAAGAAGGTCCCTGCTGCGGAGGCAATGTATGCAGCCTGGATAGTTTGAGAAACAAAATAATTTGCCACGTCAACTTTCTTGCGTTGTGCAGCTGACAACCATGGAAAACCCCAGGGCCACGACTTGTTGCGCTGTGGGCGCGGCCCTGGATGCAGCTGCCATTGAAAGCGGACTCTTGACCAAGTCCCGCATGGTGGTGACATGATAATCACATCATACTTGCCATCACGAATCTCTGCAAAAAGTTGTTCCCACAGCTGTGCACTGCTGAGGTCGTCAGACTCAGAGCGCTCAATGTCCACTTCGCGGACATTCAGGTCAAAATCCTGTGCCAGGGAAATTGCATGCAAAAAGGAATTGATGTCAGCACGACGTGGAGCTCCCGCATACAAATAGAGCACATTCAAACGCTGTTTAACAGAGCTTTCGCTCTTCTCAGAAGCCCCACGCTGTGCTTGTCACTCATCACCAGGTCTGCCCTGGTCTTCACCACTTGCTGTCTGAGACTTGGAGCCGGTATATTTGTGGTGTTCACGTGCCGAGTGTTTTGCGTAACATCCACGGACTCGGCATGCATGTACCCTGCCACACTTTCCAGAACACCCCTGAGCGTTGAATGCAAAGCATAGTTCACGACCATCCGGCGTGTGTGTGACCAAGCTGCTGCCGTTGAAATCCCTGGCGTTGCCTTTGCCAGACTTGCCTTTTCCTTTTCCACCTTTGGCTCCTTTGTGCTGAGGCTTCCCTTTGTAACTCGTTCGCTGCCACTTGTTGGGCTGTGGCTGCGTGGTCCTTTGGTTGTTCCAGCCAACCCCCAAAGCAATAGGAGCTGTAAAGTGCGCTTCCTTGATTTCTGCATCCCTTATCACCGCTGCCAAGCCTTCCGCAACAGTGTGGGTACCAGCCTGCACAAGCTTGAAGACTTCTTTGCGCATCTTTTGCTCGTAGCTGAGGATAACTGCCCATGGAGGTTTCACTGCATGGGTCTGGCCTTCAACGTTGAATTTCAACCCCAGCACCTTTTCACCAAGCAATACTCCGTGTACTTTGTCCAGTGCTGCAACTCCAGCCCATGGAGCCATGTCTTGTTTCGAAACTTTGCTGACATGCAAAGCCAGCTGATGGCCTCCAGCTTCAAGGCCCTGCGAAGTGACTCTGTGTCCTCTGGGAGGCGCCCTTTGGTCTTCACTTTCGTGACCCGGACATGCCCAGATGAATCAAGCGATGTCTGCAATGCCGACGAGCTCGTGTCTGAACGCGAAGACACCTCATCGAGCCCCAGAGCCTGGGGTTCATTGGCTTCGCACTCCTCGACTTTCAAGGCCAGGTACTCATTGCTAGGGATCTCTGCATCTTGAAGCTTACCCAATGTGACTTCCACAGCTTTCACCATGGCCTGGCGTTCAGTATGCTGAAGAACGCGCGGCATGCCCAACACTTTCGTCTCTGCTTGAAGCTCTTGCTCTTTTGCTGTCATTGAACGTGACAACTCCCATGCCGTCAACACTTTGGCAACATCTGCTCTAGTCTCTGGACTTGTTGCTGGATCAATACGAAAGTCAGTGCGCAATGCCTCCCGCACTTCTGCCTTTGTATCACACATCGAACTGAAGACCTTCATGGTCTTGTAATGTTGTGCCAGCGTATGTTGTGTACCCAGCGAAACATCGCACTCTTGCCAAATATATTGCAGATCTGAGCTCACATGCTCTGCCAGGTATGCTCTCCGAGCAACATCATCGACTGCCATGGTACACAGCACTGCCCGAGGACTAACCGCGGGATTGCAAAGAAACTAAACAAACAAACCACCAATCAAAACGATGTTTCTGCTGCCAGTTGATGAACATCCCGTGAAATAGCATGTGTGTAATACAGATGAGGTGTGAAGTTGCAAGTAAATACAAGTGCGACTAAAATCGCCTGAAGCTGAAGCTAAGTTCTCCAACTGAGTCTGAGTCTGAATCGGCTCTGACGCCGCTGAAATTTGGAATGACCCTGAGTGCCTGTCCTGAAACATGTTGTGCCAACATGACTGAAAATGCTCTGAAACTTGGTGCACTGTTCACCAATGCACACACTGCAAGCACTCAACACTTTTCCACCTTTGCGTTAAAGTTGAGATCTCGGCCGTGCCACAGCCACGTTCTGTGCCAGCAGCGAAACCTACTGGCCTGACTCGAAGTCCTGTGGTTCTTAACATCTGCCGTAAGTCATGAAACATCTGACAATACGCAAACCCAGAACTTCAACCGCTGAAATCAACATCACAGAATTCAAACAAACCGCAAAGGCATCCTGAAGCAAGCAAACAAACTCACTGAAATCGAAACCTGAAACAACCCCAGTGAATCAACATGGACTCTCAGTTGTGACATCCTGAGGACTCCCGGCTGACGTCGCCAATGTCAAGAAGTTCAGGCATCACACCCGATTTGCATAGCATGCTGTACTTGACATGAACTAACAGCAACGAATGAGGCTTCGACCCATGAACTGAAAGATGTTGACCAACCCGCTGAAAGCACATCATGACAAAGCTGACAACAAACCGTCCCTAATACAAATGAACCTAAGTCACAAAACAAAACTTGTCCAAGAGGTCAACAACGGTGAAATTCTTCACTTTGTGAAGCACATGCCTACATCGATTCGTTGCCTGAGGACTCAACGCTTGTTGATGACGAAGAGCCATCGCTTGAACTGCTGCTGACTGGTTCATCCTCCACTTGGTTCTTCAAGAACCTCTTACACACCCTGCAAATGGCATCAAAGCTTGCGGAAGTGACTGACTCAACTGTTTCTGCTTGCTGACATCGTTCTGCATGGACATGACATTTGCCAGTGACATGAAGCCTCCGGAAGCCTGTCCTCCTGGAGACCGTGACAAAGTACGCCATGTCGTCATCCACATCGACTGGTGCGGGGTGTTCCCCATCAATCGGTTGTTGTGGGTCCTCTTCATCACTCTCCTCCTCATACCCATACCTGACCATGTCCTCTGCCTTGGGCAAAGGAAGCATCTTGTGGCGTCTCCGGACCCGTTGCCCGCTCAAATCAGACTTCTCCGCAAACTCGCGGACACTGTCCAGCAATTCACTCTCGTCATATGCCACCTCTGCTCCGTAGAAAGAGTCTCGCACTTGCTGCTGGATCCTCTCAGTGATCTGGCGGGAGGTGTGGAGGTATGCATTGGACCCCACTCGCCCTATCGACCACCTGCCCAAGAAGTCTCTGTCATGTTTGTCACACCCAATGGCAGCTGAAGTCTGCGGCAAAAAATGCCTAGGGCTGTGTCCCTTCCAGAAAAGCGAAAGCTCCACTGGAACCAATTCCATGCTTGCATTGACCCGCCATCTGCCATCCTCAAACTTCGGCGTACCCAACATCTGAAGGACCATCCGAAAATAGTTGGACAGCTGCGGCGGCTCCACAAGCTTCTTTCTCATGGCTTGCCAATTCTCAGTTGGTGCTGGTACCAAGTAGTCCCTTGGGAAAATTGCTGTATCGTGTCTGAAAAGCTGCATGCCCTCATCTATCCAGTCGTGACCAGTCAGTGTAATGCTCCTGTGCACGAAAGCATGTACCTGACCATGCACCTTGCCTGGACCCGTTGTCTTCGTACGGGACATGCGAACTGATAAGCCCCTGGGCGAAAGGCGCATGGTTTCCGGCATCACACATTGTATGTCGTCCACACGCATGCAGCCCCATGTAGCAACCAGCATCGTCCATGCAATGACCCTTGCATAATAATCCCTCTGATCATCCATGACAAGAAGCTCAAGTGCCAGCAAAATTGAAACCGTATATGGCGGCGCCGACCCCTTTGGCCTACTATTTGAACTCAGCTCCTGGCTCCAGCTCTGCAAGTGTGCCTTCCACGTTGGATCCATGGAAAGCTGATTGCACTCCAACACTCTGCCAGACCTTTCCAAAAGCACCAACGACGCCTGAAGTTCAGTGTGAATCGACAACGCACACCCTACCTGTATACACTCTTCCACATAATTGACCAAGTCCGCAAGTGAGCGTGGCCACACTGCCCCAGAGTAAGCTATCAACCAGAGCCTGAACTTGCTCCAGCTGCGGAACCTGTTCCTCAAAGTCTTACCCCTCCGTGAACCAAAGATCCTCTTCCAAGCCTTGTTGGGATTATCCAGCTGATGTATCTGATAAACAACAGGCAAACCAGCTTCATCGATAAATGTTGCAAGCTCCATCGCATATTTATCCCTCAAAGCTTCTTCCAGATCTGCACGGTTGACTGTTGAAGACTTACGTTGTTGTGCAACACGTTTTGCAACCTCCAGTGCATACTTGGGGTCATCCTTGACTATGGACTCGAAAACGTCTGAGGTCTCAACATGTGCATCCGTCCGGATAGGAAACAAGCTGTACTCCAGTCCAGCGACAACTGCACGTCTACGCCGTTTGAATGCAGTTTGTTGCAATGCAGACCACTCAACCAGCCGCCTAGCAGCTTCACCTGTGAGGCGTTGTATGTCTAACCCTTCTGAGTCTGCCAACTGTTTAAACACCTCTTGTGCCTCATCTTCAGTGTCAAATGAATTGGCAAACGACGATGCACACCCATAAAACCTGACAACTGTGTCTAACAGTTTCTGCCCCAGAAATTCGAGTCCAGTCCACTCGTCCTCATCCATGTGCGGCCGACAGGCGTGCGAAGCGCCCCTCTCTACAAAAATTTGAACAACTGAAACTGCACAGAAAATATAAAACTGAGAAATGAATCTGAATTCACGCTGAAGTTTGAACAGATTGTAAGACAAATTTCTGAGTGTTCCAAAACCTAAACCTAACAAACCTAACATCTTCAGGTAAGTCATAGGCCATCTCAAACAATAGCCCCCATTGCTCTTGCTAAGTCAGAGAAACAAAGCATCTCCCACCACGCCCTCCCTTAAACCAGAAAATATCGGGAAAGATAGAATCAACATGTGTCCATTGACATATTTGATTCAGATTTGTTGTTTCTGTTTGTTCTGAAAGTTTCAAAACACAAAAACAGAAAACAAACAAGTTGTCAAAACAACAACGGAGTTAGCTAAAACAAGAGGCTAATTTTGGTCAAACCAAAATTTTTGTTTTTAGGAATAAGGTTTGTATCCTCCCTTTGGGAGGAGTCCCAACGTCATCACCTGATTCCTGATGACAAGCTTTGAGAATTCACTTAGTGAAGTCTTCACTGAAAACTGTGCCTGACAATCGAATGTCCCTGAATCCGCTGTGAACCATGCAAACATGCAAATTCCACTGAACGGTTCAGCTGAAAAGAAAAACTGTGCTTTCCTGAAGTCAAACTGCTGACATGAAATGCAAACTGATGCACACTGCAGTCAATGACAAACAAAATCACGATGTTTCTTCCTGTTGATCAATCCAACGAAGTGCAATATCAATAGCACGACAATAGAATCTGGCAAACTTATATGAGTATCTTTCCGTCATCGAATAGTTGACCTGATTCAATGGAGCGTGGTCCTGATCACACTTACACTGAAATCTCTTTCCAAGACCTGTGGCAAGTACTTGATCCGAACATGCAATGCGAAAGACTTTACCAATAGGCTGTCCCTGACTGGTTTCCAAACCCATGGCACATGCAGCACAATCCGCAAACTTTTGCATGTCGTGGTCAGTTAGAAACTTCTTCAATCTCTCGTCTGACCAAAAACGGTTCGATTTCGGAAGCTCCAGAGTCACAGCACTACACACATTGCTAATGCCCTTGATATATGAAACATATCTCTTGCAATGATCAAGAAGCCTGAAACATGCGTCCTGAGCAGGTTTCCTGTCTTTCTTGGATAAGTCCAACAAAGGGCTACCCCCAGTACAGGGAAGAGAAATGTGTACCTGAATCAGTTTCTGTGAATCCGCACTACCGGAAGATCCCTCAGCAAAGCTCTTCAAGAACTTATAGGCCTGACGTTGAGTTGAAAGAAGCTCCAAACCGGCATGAATTCCAATGTAACTGCATCCAAACTCCCTAGAAGCATTTTGAATCACTGAGTCAACACCACAAGCAAGTTCCAAAATCAAACGATTTCCACCTGAATCAAACATGGTCATACTTCCATCTTCAGTCACACTGCAAACACCTGAACAAGTTGGAGTACGAGATCTACCTGAGTTCTCACTGAGGCTTGGACTGACTTCGGTCCCGTTACCAGGTCCAGTGGGATTTGCAGCTGCCGGAGCTGGTGTTGTAGGTGCGGCCGGAGCCGGGGTCGCAGGTGCGACTTGGGCCGTCGGCCCCGCCAAACGGAGCTGCCCCGTTCCGATAAGTCGGAACAATCGCAGATTCACCTGCGAGTTCAGCAGTCCACTCCCTTGGCATGCCACACAAACCTCTGTCTCGCCTCACACCGGTGCTGGCGGTGGTGTAGATGGTACCGGTGAAATCACCGGAGCATTCGGCCAGTGAGTTGAACTTTGTCCTGGTGCTTCTCCAGCCACAAGGGAATCTCCTGCTGGAGATGTAGGCGTCGCCGCCTGTGAGTTCGCTGGCGTCGGTTGGTGCACTGTAAGTGCTGACAATCTTCCATAGCCTTGTGCCACGGTAAGATGGACATCCCCATGTCCCGCACTGTCTGAAACTGGGGTTCCAACATCCACAGCTGTGCTCGGCGTCACAAGGTCCACAGTCGCAGGTCGCAGGTGCCGCCTTAGCTGCCTCTTCCACGACTCTCCCAACCGAGCCTCTGATCTCTGTTGCTGGCTCTG